CTTCTAGAAGTAACTATTTCCTGATGCAAGACTTAAATTACTTCTTGCTAATCTCAATAGTGCTGAACATGAAAACAGAAAAATATTAGTATTCTTCATCTCCGAATTATTTGGGACAGGAAAAGCAAATGATGTTTAGCTCTGAATTGTTTAGCACAGAAAGGAGAATGCATGTTGGCCTGTTCTTAGCAATTAAGGTAAGAAATGAAAATGAAAGCTAAATAAAGTCACAAAAAAAACTATAGTGCCATTGGCAAGATAAATTTTATTTGATGGGCGATTGAGGAAGTAAAATTGACATGAATTGACAAGTGTTCAGAGAATCAAGAATTAGGATCATGAGTGCATCAACAATTTCTAGACATATGATTATAGTAGGAAATAAGAATTGCTATGGCTTGAGTAGTACATAACATCAAGGAAAGTTTTATTCATTTTATTGTTTTATATTGCTTAGTTTGGGGGAACCTTAAGCAAGTTTAAATTCTGAGGGGAAAAAGTCATATACTGAGTGTTTTAAATTGCATTTCTTATAACTTGAAGCTGTATGTTGTTGGGGCACAATAATGATAAAGATTACAGTGTCACATTAGAACATCTGAGGGACTCTCAGATTGGAAACACACTGTATAGTTCATTTAAGTTGAAGATATAAAATTATACATTAATAGAAATAATCTAACATCAGATTTTAAAATTTTAAGATCTCAATTGTTAAACTAATAACGCTGGATATGTGGTGGGAAGAATTTTAAATAGTGAGCTTTAGCTTAAAAACCATAGTTGATCTGATGTCAACACTCTTTTTTTAAATCCTGAGTCAAAGGTCAAGGACAAAAAGTCCTACTCAGGCGTTCAATCAGGAAATGATTTATGAGAAAATGAGCAAGCACCATGACAGTGATGTTATAGGGAAGAAATGAAGTCAAACTAACATAACCACTTCTCTGACAGATCAACCAACCTTCAAAACTGACTTGTTTTTGGCTGCTATATGGATAAATTCAAAACATAAGAAATTTAAGAAAAAAATCAAGGAGTAAGAGCATCTCTGAAAAAATAGTTTGGAAGCCAGTTTCTAAGCTCTGTTTTTGTTTTGTTTTTTAAGATTTATTTTTTCAAAATTTTCAGAAAAAGCCCAAGACCATATTATAGTCCATATTTGTTAGGGTAACTAGATTACATTATAGAAGTTACTATCTTGATAGGAATTAGCTTTAGACTTTGCTAATCCTGTCAAATTTTATACCCTGTTTACTTTATGTCTATGGTCTAACCAAGTTCTAAAACTGTATTATTCTGTTTATTTCCCTATTTGTGCTAAAATTGTATCCATCACAAATTGGGTGACTTAAAAACAAAGTATATTGAATTATTCTCTTGATAACATTTCCCAGGCTATGAAATTCTTAGTGAGGTATAAAATTTTCTGACCTAAGTACATTACTGCTTTGTAAGAAATTAACATAAGGATATGAAGGGAGCCTTTGTTCCTAATCTCCTTTGAGCCAATGTGGTGCAATTCTGCAGGGCAGTCTTTAATATCTTCACTTTTAGATTCTGTGCATGCAGTCTCATAGCAGACCACAAACACCAGACCGTAATGGGGCAGTTTTAATCTATTGGGCAAACTATAGCTCTGACTTAATTCTCCTTAGTTCCCTGAGAGCAGTAATAATATGTTCATTCTAGATTTAAAATGCATCCAGCAGAGCATTTTGTGACTTTTCTGTTCAATGTGTTAATATGTGGAAGAATTCTATGGATCCTGCTGCATATTCCTGAGCCTAAATCCCTAAAACATATGCTGGGAAATGACCATATTCTGGGGTTGTAATTTACAAACTTGTGAAAGGAAAACATATGGTACAGCAAAATTTTAATTAGTTTTAAATATTTAAGGAGAAAGCTGTAAAGTAAGATACAAATAACCATATTATGTAGACAAATATTGTAGATAACAGAGAATATACATCATTTTAATGGATTTAGATTTGCAAACTTATCTAGCATTTTTTGGATTTCTATAGGCACAAAAAATCTGTTGGAAATAATATCAGTTATATTTTCTATTATCTAACTCTAATGGCCTTCAGTTCTTTTTTTCTTGCTTACATTACACTTGCAAGGCTCTTCAGAAAATTGTTGACTAAAAGCAGTACTTATGGATTTCATTTTCAATCTCAAGGAGGAAAGGTTTCAATTAAATATTATGTCTGCATTTTGAATGGATTAGGTGTCTTTATGTGATTGAAGTGTGTCCAACTTAGTTGTGATGCATTATCAACTATATACAGGTTCTGGCACAAACAATGCCTCTTTTATTACAAAATCATAAGCATGTAATTCTGTGGCATAGCAATATCACACTCAAGCATACCATATGACATTTTAGGTGAAATGTTCAAAAATATTGTAAGTGATTATGCCCATGTTATTACCCTACTAAGCACACTCAAGCAGGCCTTACTTTTGGTAGGCCCTCAGATGCATGATATACCCAGGTTTATACATTTGATATACAAATGTATAAAAATGTATTTCATACATTTTTACACACATATCTTTTTAAATATACATTTCTGTATTTGGTTGCTAATATTTGGTTTAGGTTTTTGCAAATACATTTTGGAGAGAGAGTGGCCATTATTTCTTCTTCCTTGCAACATCCTTTTTAAGTTTGTATCGATGTCATATTTAACTCACTCAATGAGCTGGGGGACATGTTCTCTTACTCTATTCTTTGACAAGTTCTAAGAAAAAAAACTTGAGAGTTACATTACTTTTACAATGATGTGTAGTTTTTTTGTTTTATCATAAAATGTAGAGAATTTATAGTGAATCTTGAATCTCTGTCTTGATGTCTTTAACACATGGTGGAAAACTTTTGGCCATTATTTTTCAGATCCCTTTTGCCTCCTCATGGTTCTCCTCTGCTTTAACTATGATGGTATGAATATTATCATTTTTACCATGTTTTATTTATGAAAATATTGGTTATTACATTTTTCTCAGTATTTTAGTTTAAATATTTTCTGTTTGTTTTTTAGATCACTATGTATTTTTTCATTGGCATCCAATCTGCAAATGCAGTTCATATACAGTTAATTAGTATGTTTATAATTAAACCTCAAAATCTCAAGTTAAATTATTATATTTTCTTATTTATTTCTAGTTTATATGTTCACATAATGTCACATTCTGTGAAATCCCCCAGTTTGTTATCTATATTAAAAGATACTGATGACAGTTATTTTCCCACCTATTAAAAAACTCAGTATGATTCATCTGTTCAGAGGTATCTGTAGCAGGTAGGACTCTGTTTCTGCTTTCTGTTATTCTCCATGGGTCCAGTTTCTTTAGAGGCATGCTATTTTTCTTTCTTTACTGTCAAGGGTCATATATGTATAAAAATCATACAGTCTGGATAAGGTTACCTTTTTCTAAAGAGTGTTTATATTGACTCTTTGCTGACTTTTAGATCACCTCAATGTAATTAGAGATTTCATTGTTTCAAATATAAGTTTCAGCCTCTGCATGACTTTGCCTATTTTCCTTAACCCCTAAATATAGCCCCTAAAGTCTATGTGAGAGCTTGTGTATTTATCAGAGTCCCTCTTCCTTGTTGGTCCTTACATTCAAATGTTTATTTTTCAAGCTCTTTTTAACTCCTCAATCTTCCATAAGCCATTTTCTGCTTGTCTAGCATGACTTAGGGGGAAAGCAGCACACAATGACAGCCTTACCCTATCTTTCCTCCTTTATGACCCCTAATTCATCTTTCTGGCTACTTTTAGAGCCCATAATTCCAATATCTATTATTTTCTGCAAACCCCATGATACTGACAAAAGCTTTGCTTAGCTGCTACATTATGCTGCGTGTCTCAGACTCTTAGCCTATGCTGCTTATAATTAGAAAATAATACCTAGAGAGGGAAGGAAAAATCAGTGTAGAATTTTAATCTGACTTCCATGAATTTCCTTTTTTTATTAGATTTGGCCTTTCATGTTCTAGCTGCTTCAGTAGCTATTATTAAATTCAAATAATTATTTTGATATTATATGTAACATGTTTTTCTGGTGTTCTTGGTGAAAGCTTTAGTCAGCTAAAAGTTATTGCATTGTAATTGGAAACAGAATGCTCCATATTACTTCCTATCTTGATGTGCTATTTCTTTATTATTGTTATGGATCTAACTTATTTTAATTTTTAAATTGTTTGAAGGATTTTTCATTAAATGCTTGCTTGGTTCTGCTGGGTATATCATGGATCTGAAGATATTGAGAGTCTTCTCCTTGACAGGGGGTGTAGTATTTAAAGATTTCAGCCTGGACAAGTCTACAGTATTAAATAGATGCAGTAGCCATACTTATGTGTCATGACAGTTATTTTTGAAATCTTGAAGTTTACTACATATAAATAGGTAATTAAAATATAAAGACTGAGCTAGTACCTTCTGTATATTTGCATATTTTTATTTAATCAGTTGGGTACAGAATATGATTCTCAACAATTTATAATTTATAATCAATCTTTTAGGAAACATGTTTTATAATTTCTTATAATAAAATTCACCTATTTTTCTAAAACAACACTTAGTATACTTAATAAGAATCATGATTTAGAATAGCATAATTAGATGATCTACCTCAATATTAAATGGACCGTTAACATTTTATTAGTATTTAATTTTACAACATTGATGTTTGTATTTTACTATGTCTGTGACTTTTTCAGGTTTATTAATTTTATGTCATTATAAATACAGATAACCTATCTTTTAAATCTTTGTAAGACAGAAAAACCAGATAATTTATAATTCATTTACTGCATCCTGGAGAAAGTCATTTAACCCAAAATAGATTTTTTCTCATATTAATAATGGTGAACATAAGGAGAGAGTCATTGCTTTCCCCAGTAAATTTCTACAACTCTGTATGTCATCCTGGACAATTGGCAGTACTACTAAACACCACTGTTCTGTGTATGTGGTTTGCAGGCTGCCAGGAACTAGCCATTCACTGACATCTCAAAGTGACCTGGACTCCAGTAGCTCTGAAGAATTCTATCAGGCTGTTCACCACGCTGAGCAAACCTTCAGGAAAATGGAAAGTTACTTGAAACAACAGCAACTCTGTGATGTTATCCTGATTGTCGGGAACAGAAAGATTCCTGCACATAGGTATAGTAATCTGTCTGCATTGGATACATGCATTGATATATTAAGAATGATAGTCTGAGATGTAGATTGCAAAATATCATGATTAGAGAATTAAGAATCCATAGTTTTAAGAAGGCTTGGTTATTGTTCTTTTACTCTTAGTTATTTATTTAAGTAATCTTCTAAAGAAATAAAGAAAATATAAACATTTCAAGAAATATAACTTCCTCTAACTAAGGTTGATAAATACTTTGTTTTATATGACACACAATTATACTAAGTGAAAATCAATTTCAATCTTAGGTATATGTACCTAAGATCTGAAATAAGTTGCCTTCATGCCAAAACTGAGAGGACTCAGGTTATCTTAGGTACATAGTATGCGTTTCAACTAGAAAATTTGAAGTATTTCATATTAATCTATTTATTTTATGTTTATTACAAGTTATTTAGCTTATGGCACACTAATGTTATTTTTACTTTATTTTTATTGTTTACACTATGACAGAAGTCTCCATTTCTCCCTTTTGCCCATCTCCCCTGCTCTCACCCCTAAAGCTAACATAGTTTTAAACATTTCTTAAATATTTATAATTGACAATTTCAAGTTTTATGAACTATATATATCATTATTTTGTACCATATTGATTTGCTATCAGTTTACTTATGAAAATTCATTAAATTTGATGTTAGTTTTTTATTGTTTTTCTTTTTTTTAAAAAAAAATTAAGTGAAAAAACGAATCATAATTTAATTTTGATACTGATTATCTTAAGTAGTTTAATATATGGGCAAATAGCCCTAGATTACCTTGATATATGTTATTTAATACTATTAATAGTAATGAATTAATAGAAAGGATAAATTGTCCACATAAAAATTTTCAATGGACTCCTTTTCCCTATCATTTTTAACTTAGATTGTATCATCTAGATAATAGAAATTCATATGCATGTGGATTATTAAAGGGATTTCAGAAAAAGAATGCTCTATTTCTACCATCACAATATTAAAATGTGGACATTAAATTTGAACCAATACACTAAAAAGGTATAGGAAGGATAAAATGACACTAAATAACCAATCTACCAATCATGTAAGTTTCAATTTGTCAGCAAACTATGGCACTAATTTTAATAATATAGTATTCACATTTATTTTTCCAAATATTTTTATGAAATCACATTAATAAATAGTTGTTATTATTGAGATATTTAAGTTGCCACCACCTATTATTTGGATAAAATTATGTTATAAAATATATTTCTAATTTGAGTGTTACTTAATTTATTTTATTTGCCTAATAAATTAAATAATTATAGATATTTGTTTAAGAATATAGAGGCACTAAATAAACTGAAAAGCATATTAACACATCAAATGTTCATTAACATTTTAAAGAGATTTAAAATTTTCCTATAATTCATATAATCTTATAGCCTTTCATTGGTAGTAGTATAGTGTTTCTTCTTTGAAGCATTTTTAATCAATATTTTAAACAAGTCTTCCATGTTAATTATATTCTACATTGTTTTCTTTATTACTCCTTTTATCTAGGTTGTTACAGTAATTTTTAAAAAATATTTTATTTATTTATTTTTGGAGAGAAGGGAAGAGGGAGAAAGAGGGAGAGAAACATGAATGTGAGAGAGAAATGCTGATCAGTTGCCTCTTGTAAGTACCCCCACTAGGGATGGAACCTGCAACCCAAGCATATGCCCTTGAGTAGTGATTGAACCCATGACCTTTCACTTGGTGGGATGAGGCCCAACCAACTGAACCACACAGGTCAGGGCTTTATTTTCTAAATAATTTGCTCAATTATGCAAATTGTTCCATAGTAATTCAGGTTACTAAAAAGTAATATCACTTTTGAATTTAGATTAAGACATCTCGACAATGTTTTATTTTATATATATTATTCTCAACATTTAAATATTTTATATATTTAGCAGATACTAAATTAAATGTTATTGTCAATCATCCACATTTTCTTTAACTCTGATAAAAAATTAGCCTAAACCTACCTGCTAAATAAATTTAATAAGTATTCAGATTTTGTTTACATTGTTTAAAACTTTAGCAGTATCTATTTTAAAAGTAATTTACATACCTATGATTCTAAGTTAAATATACATATATTACCAAATATGTGGGAAATATTTAGGAGCACCTAATAAAAATAAGCATTTTTGGGGTGCAGGGTGGAGGGGAATAAAGAAGGAAAATGGGACAACCATTATAACATAATCAATGTTTAAAAAAACAAATATTCTTTTAAGCAGTCACAGGTACATTGCACTTCCTTATTTATACTTTTGAATAATCAACTGATTATAAGTAATGCAAATTCACTATTTGCTTTAAATAAATAATCATCTTAGTAATAACAAATGAATGGATTCTTAAGCTATTTTGTTATATTTTAATTAGGACAACTGAGTATCATCTTCAGGAAAAATATAATTGATTTTGCAATCATTAGCACTGAAAAATTTTGGACTATTATAATAATTTTAAATAATGAAAAAAAGAACTTGCACTAAGATCTACTGCTCTTTTAGAAGTATTGCCAGATAATGTCATTAGCACTCATTAAGTAGTCATCCATAAAGATCATGTATATTTAACTTCATATAAATTATCTCATAATCTAAAACTTGTGAATACATTTCTATTTAAATTAATAGATCATGATGATTAAAGGGCTCTTTATAAAACACTTTGTATGCTAGCTATATTGTACATATACTTTTAACCTGATGTAGATCAAAATTATCAGTGTATTTATGAAATAACACGTCTATACAGATGTTATTATTAGCCATATTTTTAAGAAGGTTACCTATGAAAGGCTAATAATTATAAATGAAACATTAATATTTTCTCAGCATGAAAAATAATCAAAAGTTCTAAATTCATCTGTGCTTTAGTCCTCAGAGAAATTTTCCCATAAATACAGACTTCTCTAAATGGCCCAGAATAATGTATTAGCAGCAAGTGAACAAAAACATTTGAAGGTAAATTTCTGGATACTATATGTAGAAGATTTTTTGATAAATAAGCTGTCTGTAATCAGGGATCTCAGATGCTAAATATTAGACTGACAAGATAAAAAATTGGACTGCTGAATTTTTAATGCTAAGAAAATTAAAGGAGTTTTTAGGGCCTACTTTGTTATAAGGTACTGATATATGAGTATAATAAAATATGATTCAGCTTGTGAAAATTTTTCCCCTTTTAGCCATTATTAAGAGTAAGAGTATTAGACAGAAATAAATGAGAAAATCATAAATAACTAACATCCTCTGAACTGGAGTAATTGCATTTATAATTATGGGCATAGAAACAGTGTATAAGGATATAAAACTTACAGTTAACAAAGCTTAATCCTGGGGAGTGGGACTTATTAGGCAGGGTAGTTGAGGGACTAACGTGTTTTAAAAATGTATAAGCTTATATTTTATGAACTTTTTAGAATGGGCATGCAATAATTCCTGATCAAATGAAAAATGAAATGATCATATTCTGTTTCAACTCTTGTCCATGTTTAATAATGAATTTAGTTATGTCAAGATAATATACATATATTATTTTAATGTTCCATATTGAGCCTTAGTAGTGAAAATAATTGAAGTTAAAAGTGGCAATTGAAATGATGTATTTAGAAACACTTAAAACATTAAATATACTAAAGAATAACTTTATTATTAAGTTAGATATTAATATTCAGGGGTAGGCAAGTACTACTGTTTCTCTGCACTGAAGAAAAGCTAAAGATATTCTTTGATGATAGAGGAATAACTCATTTCTTCCATTTCATTAAATACAACATTCACCTAGGCATCTCAATCAGCTGAATGGTTCAGAATAGCTCTGTACCATCTTCAAAAACAAACCAACAGAAAAAGGCCTCACTGGCCCAGGCAATTCCCACAGCCCCAGGCAATGCCCATGGCCTCAGATTCCCCATGGCTTTCAGGGACCCGGCCTCCCAGCACATCCCAGGATTGGCCTGTTCCCATGACCCACAGGGGCTCCTGTGGGCCCAGGTTCCCAACAGGACCTCTGAAACCCTGAAGGCAGGCAAGCCCCTACAAACCCAGGCTTAACCAGGCCAGCTACCACAGATCCCAGCTTTTGATCCCCCCAGCACCAGGCCAGCTCCCATGTCCCTAGGCCTCCCAGTCCACTCAGTGCCAGACTGGCCCCTATAGATCTAGACTGCAAGCTGGATTCTACACATGCAGAGCCTGCATGTGTAGAATGCTGCTTATCCCAGCAGCATATCTTCTCCAGCAGAACACACCTTCAGGCCGGGCCACCCAAGCTCTCAGGCTGACTCCAGAAACCCCAAGCTCAAGGTTGCCCTTAGCACCAAGCCAGCCATAGTGACTCCAGATTCCAGCCTCCAGTCAGGTTCCCATGAAACCAGTCTCCCAGACCACTCCAGTACCAAGTAGGCCCTGTGAACCCAGATGCCGGGCCCAATCCAGTGGTGCCTGTTTGGCCTTTGCTGACCCAGAACCTATATTTTCACACACAGACCCAGATCTCAGCCCAATCACCCCAGATTTAAGGGCCAGGCCCACCTAGTGACCCCCAGCTCCAGACCTTCTGCTACAGACTCAGGCACTTGGCTGTTCCGTGTGTACCCAAGCACAAGCCTGCCACCTGCTGACCAGACACCAGACTTGCCTGCCCAAAGATGCCAGAGGAAGCCTACCTTCAGACACCCCCAAATGGCTCTCCCACACAGTCTGTGGCTGGGTTGACTGGTTAACGGCTTTGCCTGCCCAAGCCAGCCTGAAGAAAGGAAGAGACCCTTACTTCCTTAAATATAGAGATGTCATCACAAGTCCACAAGGATCATGAGCTGAGAGGGCATGGCACCATTAGACATGGCTTACAAGAAATGCTAATAGGTGTTCTTTAAGCAGAAATGAAAGGAGTCTGATTAGTAACTGGAAACATGTCAAGCTAAGAATATAGACAACTTCAGAATAATCTAATTGTGATGT